ATCATTGATGGCGTCAAGTGTGGCAGCGGTAGTGAGGTTGGCCCAGGATCGGACATTGTTTCATTCTGCTGTGCATGGGGTCACTATGATTCGGTTCCGACTGACTCGATGGCACCTGACAACAACAACATTAATGCTGGGGTGAGATGATATCTCATTGTTGTTTTGATATGCATGTCTTTAATGGCTAATGACATTCATGGTGTGGCACTGTAGGATTAACACTGGACTGTGAACCACAAGGTCTATAGTTCAAACCCACCAGCTGTTCTTTGGAAACCCTATAAAGCATTGCTATGAGTTGGAACAGTCTCGACAGCACTTAACAAAAACAACAATGTCTAATGACAGTGATCATTTCTTCATATCCTTGTTTGCCACTTGGGTGTCTTCTTTGGTCTTTGTTCATGTCCTCTTAACAAAAACAACAATTATGGCTAATGATAATGATCATTTCTTCATATACTTGTTTGTCATTTGAATGTCTTCTTTGGTGAAGTGTTTGTTCATGTCTTCTGCCCATTTTTAATTGCCTTGTTTGTCTTTTTCTTGTAGTGGTGTTGTAATTTTCTATAAATTTTAGAGATTAGTCCCTTGTCTCATATGTCATAGCCAAAATTTTTTAGTCTGTGGGTTCTCATTTTGCCCTTTTGGTGCAATCTTTTGATGTACATAAATGTCTAATTTTTAGGAGGTCCCACTCATCTATTTTGTCTTCTATTGTTTGTTTTCAGTAATGTTTGACAGTATATTTATGACATATAAATTAAAGCCCCTAGCTTTGTCCTGTTTTTCATGAATGATCTTTATATCCTAGGTTTTACATTTAGGTTTTTAATCCACATTGTTTGTTTTTTATAAGGTGTTAGATGTGGGTCTTGTTTTATTTTTCTGCAAATGGATTTCCAGTTTTGCCAGCACCATGCGTTGAAGGGACTATCTCTTCCCCATTTAATATGCTTGTCCCTTTGTCAAAGATCAGCTGACTATGTGAATGGATTTACTTCTGGGTTTTCATTCATGTTCCATTGATCTCTGCATCTTTCGCTGTACCAGACTGTTTTGACCACTGTAGCTCTGTTATAGATTTTGTTATCAGGAAGTGAGAGGCCTCCAACTTTGTTCTTTTTCTTAAGTAATGCTTTACTTATCCAAGTTCTCTTTACTTTCCAAAATTAGTCATCAGTTTTTCCAACTCTTTAAAGAATGATGTTGGAATCTGGACTGGGATTGCATTGTATCTATAGATTGCTTTGGGTAGACATTTTCACAATGTTAAGTCTTCTTATCTATGAGCATAGTATATTCTTCCATTTTTGTAAGGCTCTTTTGGTTTCTTGCAGTAGTGTTTTGTAGTTTTCTTTGAATAGGTGTTTTTTTCGCTGGTTAGATTTATTCCTAAGTATTTCATCTTTTGGGTGGCTATTGTAAATAGTGGAGTCCTGGTGTGGTACTGCCGGATAATGCACTGGACCTTAAGGTCAGTTTGAACTGCAAGGTCGGTGGTTCATATTCACCAACCACTCCTTGGAAATCCTATACAGGGTCACTATGAGGCACTTAACAAGAAGAATGATTGTAAATAGTACTGTTTTCCTGATTTCCTTTTTAGAGCTGTCTTTTTCAGTGTAGAGGAATCCAATTGATTTTTGTGTATTGATCTTGTACCCTGTCACTTTGTTGAATCTTTCGATGAGTTCCAAGAATTTTCTTGTTAAGTCCTCGTTTGTTCAAATTTTTAAAAATCCTGGTCTGTTTTGGTTTTCATCATCCATGACTTCACCAGTTTGAACCAGTTCGAAGTCCTACCTATACAAATGTGATGTAAATATGGAGTTCAAGCCAATCATATCTTTCAAAGATGACAGGAGCTCCTTAGGTGGTGAGTTATCCATTCCTGGAACTGATCAGATCCAGATTGGACAACCAATGGGTAGGAGTATTAACAGAATTTTCTTGAATGGTTGTACTAGTTTTTTTCTTAGACTCAGGTTTTTGGATACATCCTCAGAACAACAAACAAACAAAAAAAAAATGAGAGAATTTGGAAGCAAAACATTTGTCACATATTAATCTGTTGGCTTTGGTTTGCAGGAAGGAGATGAGGCTGAAGACAAGAACATGGGTGAAATGACAGGTGGAGAGGTTGAAGCTCTGGAGGAAGGTGAAACTCAACTTGCAGGTGAATTTGAAGTGGAAAGAAGAGGAGAAGTTGAATGTGAAAGTGAAGGTGAAATCCTGGCAGCAGAAGGTGGTAAAATGAAAGGTGATGAAGGTGATACTGATGGAAATCAAGGTGATGAGAAAGGTGCAGATGTTGAAGATGGAGGAGATGGAGATGAGAGTGAAGATGAAGATGAGGAGGAGGAAGAAGAGGAAGAAAATGAGAAGCCCCTGTTCCTGGAGTGGCCCGAGACCAGGCAGAAGCAGGTGGTTTACCTCTTCCTCCTGCCCATTGTCCTCCCGCTGTGGCTGACAGTGCCTGATGTCCGGAGACTGGTGAGCGTGCTCCTCTGTTTATCCCCCAGAAGGCTAATGAGGCCAAGAGCCACCCAGAGCTCACAGTAGAGAGGAAAAGGCAAACCAGCTTGGCAGGGCTCCACCGCTCAGAGGAATCTGAGATGGAATCTGAGATGGAACTCCATGGGCTTGGGAGCTCCTAGACCTCATGTGTACCTTATTTCTACCACCATACACAGTGCAGACATGGTTCCAATCTAAGTTTCTGATTATAATATGGAAATGACACCACCATATTTCATAGGGGTCTTTTGAAAACCCATGATGCTCATTGCGTTTTCTACCCAATATTCCTATCTGTAGGGCAAGGTCTGCCTAATGTACTTTACCCAAGGGCAGTTAGTTCATAGTCTGGAGCAGGAAATTGCAGAAAACAGACAAAATATCAAGATGGGTTGGGTTCTAGGACAACAAATGGCTGTCTTCAGTTTGGCTATTCTTATCCCATGGTCCCAGCTGGATGTGCCTCTGCAGGTCCCTACCCGCAGCCTTTTCTATCCATCTCAAGGTCCTCACTGGAAACACAGCCCCCTGCTCACGTTGTCTCCAAATTGTCTCCATCATACCTCGTCACCGATTCGGGGTTCCCTTCTAAGGGCCAAAGCTCTTTAACCTCTGCAGCTTACTTCTCTTCCTTTTCAAATTTGAAAACAGGAGTCTAGGAAGTTTTTTGTTCTCGCCTTCCTGGGATCCATCACGTGGATAGCTGTGTTCTCATACCTCATGGTGTGGTGGGCTCACCAGGTGAGTTAACAGTGTCAACTACATTCTGCATCAGCACATCCCAAGAACATACTTCCCCCAGTGAATAGGAAAGACCAAGTGATATCAGTACAGTCTCTCCATTATTTGTAAAGGCTTAAAGGTAGACTCTTTATTTCAATGAATGTGGTGCTGTCCAAGTATGGCTTTTTCATCTGATATTAACACTGAAGCATGACATAGAAGGCTGTTCACAACCTGGTCCTAACTGACCATTTCTAGCTTATTCCCTGCTTCCTCTGTCATATATCCCCCACCCGCACCAGCAGGTGACGCCTAAATACTCTTCAAGGGTCAGCTCAACATTGGTTCCTCTCTGACAATCCCTCCCTCCAACCTCCCTGTACCCATGGGCCTTTCTGTGTAAACTTTTCTTCCTCATGAGGCTGTGGGTAGGGATAGTCATTCATCCATCACTAGTCTCTTAGTTCCTGGCGCATAGCAGGTTCTCATGTTCCTGGCAATGAAAATGCTGATGAGAACTTTGGAAGGTGAAGGTGGTGGGTGTCACTGGAATAACGAAGAGGAAGGATATAGCTGATGTCACAGATGGGCAACATGGTTCCCTGAAGCCATGTCACGGGCAGGGGCCCCATTCTCTGTGTGTGCTTCCCATCTGTTCCACCCAGGCCCTTCCTCCCTCCAAATGAGGGAGTGTACTGAGCTCCTGGGAAGGCACTGTGTCTGTGAGGCCTGGGCTTTGAACAGCCTGAAGTTGTGCAGCTGCTGTTGCCATGGTTTCTCATTACTGTTTACCAGGTTGGTGAAACGATAGGGATTTCGGAAGAGATTATGGGTTTGACCATCCTAGCGGCAGGCACATCAATTCCTAACCTCATGTGCAGTGTGATTGTCGCCCGGAAAGGCCTGGGAGACATGGCTGTGTCAAGCTCTGTGGGCAGTAACATCTTTGACATCACTGTGGGGTGAGTGGCCTGGTGATTCCTCAAGGGAGACTGAGAATGACCAGTGTGTGGGACCTGGTCACCAGTTTTCTGTGTCATTCCTTATGCGTGGGGTAAAAAGCTATTTTTATCTTTCGTTTCTACAAAGCGACGAAGTCTCCTTTCCACTCAGCACGCCAGATGGATAACTGAAATGTCACTGATTGGAGTTTACAGAGATGAGAATGAAGTCCATTACCAAATACAGCCAGATGTTCTGCTCGCTGACCTCTAGGGCTGGGGTTGAAGGGAGCAATGACTCAGGCTCACTTCCCGATACTCCTGAACCCGCCAGCTCAGGGCTCTCAGACCTTTTACATAAACAAATGTCTCCTCACTCCAAATGTAACCCCATCCCTCTCCTCCTCACCTTGTCAGAGCAGGACACCTGGGCCATTGTAATTTTCCAAATTGTGTTCTGGATTTGAATTTGTGTGTGTGTATAATGGTTTGGCTGCGAACCTTAAGGTCAGTGGTTCGAAACTACCAGCCGCTCCGCGGGAGAAAGATGAGGCTTTCTACTCCCGTAAAGATTTACACCCTCGGAAACCCTGTACAGGGTCGCTATGGGTCGGAACCGACTCGACGGCACTTAACAACAAACAACAACAAATAATGGTTTGAGGGGCTTGGGAGGCAGTGAACAGGACATACATAGGAGAAGGAAACTTGATCAGGAAAGAATTGAAATCAAGGCCTCATTGTAAAAATCTGGGTTAGTAAGGCAGACATGATTAAGTATGCACAAAAGAGAACTCAGACCCAGGTACCTTCATTTAAAATCTAGGCTGTCCCAGTGATTAGCTGCGAGTCCTGAGGCAAGTGATTTCTTGGAACCTTTCTTCATGTGTGAAATGGAGCTAACCATATACTTCCTAGATTGTGTGTGTGTAAAAATAAAGTGCTTTACCATTTAGCTATATAGGATTATTATTCACATTAAGAATATTCACATTGTTTCTTCAATTTTGCAGCTTGCCCATTCCTTGGTTACTTTTCTCTCTTATCAATGGGTTACTGCCGGTTCCAGTCAGCAGCAATGGTTTGTTTTGTGCAATTGTTTTGCTTTTCCTCATGCTCCTATTTGTGATCTCTTCAATTGCAACATGCAAGTGGAGAATGAACAAGGTCCTCGGCTTCACAATGTTCCTCCTTTACTTCATATTCCTGATAATGAGTGTGATGCTAGAAAATCGAATGTTATCTTGTCCTATATCTGTCTGACTCTGAGGAACTGTTGTTCATAATGGACAGAGATCAGAAGACGGTGCCAGAAGTTACTGTACCTCCTGGACATGAAAGAACATGATCTGGGAGAGCAGCCCAGAGCCTCTGATGTGAATGTGATCTGGGACTGAATTTCCTCCTTGGAAACACCTGACAGCTCATTGTAGATGGAGGGCCTCACCTCTGAAGAAATGGAGTTCCTACCTCTGACTGATGTAGACATCTGGTGGCCAACAGAGGGGTCCCTGCAGCTATACTGTTTTCTGAATGAGAGCTAATTGAGGGTGAGGGTTGGGACAGGCGCAGTACAATAACACGAGCCCCTCTGCTCCCACCCCTCAATCATTCCTGCTGATCCTAGATACAGACATGGACCTCACCTCACCCTCCTGGACCCTGCCCCAAGCACATGTTGTAATTTACTATCTCGTCTCTTTTTGTTCAAAACACAAGGTTCGATCTGGTTTTTGGTCACCAGTTTCAGTTATTGGTGAGTTTAGAAGGTAAAGCTACAGAAAACAGGAAGCATAACAGGAATCAATGGTCATGCCACATGCTGCCTATTGAAATTTTTACCAGTATTATCTAGCTTTAAAGGACAGAAGTTCTTACTGATACATATCTGAAATGTGACATTAAAATAGGAAGCAGCCTGAGAAATGAACATTTCTATTTTGCCCTTGAATTGGAAGGAGTGACAATCAGGAAAGAGTGACTCAAGGGACAAAAAACAATAGGTATTTATTAGAAAATCCAAGTTAACTGTCTCTATCAAGTGGTCCCCTTGAGGGATCATTCTAGCAAAACTGTCTTGGCCTTGCCACCCCAGCGTGTCCTCACCCTGCAGCGAGAGTTCTTCCCACCAGGGAGAGTGAAGTCAAGTCACTTAAAAAGGAGCCCAAAGTCAACAGAGCTGATACGGTCCAAGATCCAGTGGGAAATGCAATTTTCAATGTCAGTTTAAGATTAGAAGGCAAGGAGATTGTTTTTCTTGTGTGGCTTACAAGTGGCTCTTAGGCAATTACAAAGGAGAAACTCCAGTAACACTTAACACAATGACAACAGGGTGGGAAAAGGGTATTGCTAACTTCCAAGGTAGCTAGTGTGAAGGATAATTTTGTGTTTTCAAATTTGTGTGGTTATTTAAACATTTTATGTGGAGTTTCCTTTTGCTTTCAAATACCACTGTTTGCTGCTTTTAGCAGCATCATATTAGGGGGCACATTAGAAAGGAAACAACACACATTACGTCACTGGGAGCAGAGCCAAAGGAGTCCGGGTGCCTGCAGACTGGAATGGTAAATATGCCTTCAATACAAACATGAGAAATGGCTCACTAGGAGACAGCAGGACAGATGTGATACGGGGGGAAATACTGTTGAAAGGCAAATGTATTAGAGAACTTTGGTTCAAATTTCAAGTCATAATCCATCTTTTAAGATCAGCTAGCTAATTTAATTAAGGACCTCACTATCCCAGGATTTGTCTATTCTTTGGAAGCGATTTTTGCTGATTTCAATAAATTGTCAGTCCCTGTTGTTAGGTTTTCTTGGTCAGAATCCTCAAGAGAAAGCAAGCTAATGAAGAATATGGAATCATGTTCCAATTCCATGTCCACAGATTAACTTTCCTTACTCTTGATGCTGCTGCACTGCCAGGTTCCCATACGCTATGGCTAAGAACAGGAGAACAATGCTGTGGAAGGGAGATCCAAATACCAGAACTCTGGGTGACAACTAGTGTTTAGAGACAATTCCAGCTTGTCTTGGTCTCTAAACCAACTGAAGAATGATGGACTGGGAAATATTCTGTAATGATAAAGTGCTGAAAATGCATTTAATGATTAGAGCCAGCTCCAATGATCTAATATTCTTTTTCTTGTTCTGAATTTCTGCCATTTATCTTCACATAGAACTGAAGTTCTGATCACTTTACACAATGACAGAAAGGGATAACTACATAATATGAAAACTGGGTCTCAGTTTGTAAGCAGGAATTTATTAGGAAAGACAAAGATTTCAGGGACATGGAAACTTATATGTTAACTTTTAAGAGATAAATTTGTTATGTATGTAAATTAAAATGTATGTCATAGACTTATAAATCTAGTATAACTTATTAGAATCATGCTGTTTTAGAGGTAAAGTATCATCTTAAAGTGTCAATACAAGGTTAAGTCAAAAATGATTGCTACAAAATCATAGAAGCATTTAACGAAAAATTAAAATGGTGAAGCTATTGTTTATAAATATCTTCCATATAAGTCTATACACTTCTAAAAGGTAGGATTTTCATCTCTTTACTTTTGGTGTGGCACTGTAGGATAAACACTGGACTATGGAACACAAGGTTGGAGGTTCAAACCCACCAGTTGCTCTTCAGAAATCCTGAATAGGGTCCCTGTGAGTCTGAGTCAACTCAAGACACTGAACAATAACAACCCTTCTTCTCCGCAGAATCCTGCACTCCTTGATTTATGTCAAAGCAGCAGTTTTGGCATCCTGTTGTTTTTGTTGTTCGGTCCTTTCAGACTCACAGAGACCACATACACAACAGAAGGAAACACTGCTTGGTCTTGCTTCATCCTCACAGTCCTTGTTAGGCCTGAACCCATCCTTCTTGTTGGGAGGGTCTTTCTCTTTTTTGCTGACCCTCCACTTTATAATGTATGGTGCCTTCTTCTAATAATATGTCCCAAGTATGAGAGATGAAGTCTCATCATCCTGCTTGTAAGGAGCATTCTGGTTGTACTTCCTCCAATACAGATTTATTTTTCTGGCAGCCCATGATGCTTTTAATATTCTTCTCCCACACTATTAACTCAAATGTATCAATTATTTTATGGTCTTCTTTATTTATTGTTCAACTTTCACATGCAAATGAGGCTATTGAAAATTCCGTGGCTTGGTTCAAGTAAATGCATCTTAGTCCTCTTGAACACTTGAAAGAGGTATTGTGCAACAGATGTGCCTAATGCAATACTTTGTTTGCTTTTTTGATTGCTGCTTCCATGAGTATTGATAGTGGATCCTAACAAAATGAAGTTTTGACAACTTCAATCTTTTCTCCTTCAATCTTTTATCATGATGTATTGGTCCAGTGGTGAGGATTTGTGTGTGTGTGTTTTAACATTGATGTACAACCCATACTGAAGGCTGTGGTCTTTGCTCTTCATCAGTAAGTATCTTAAGTCCTCTTCGCTTTTGGCATCCTGGAGGAACTTAAATCACGTTCCCTTGAAATGTTGAGTTTGGGGAACAAAACTAAGTCTGAAGGGACAAGATCAGGATTATAGAGTGGATGGGGTAGGGTTTCCCAGTGGAATTCTCCTAGGACAGTCCTTGCTACCCTTGAAGAATGTAGTAATGGAAAAAAAAAATTTTGGCACAACCTTTCTAGCCTTTTTCTCACCAATGCAATTTTCCATTTTCTTAAAAGCTCCTGTGATTGTCCTGTGTCCTTTGAGAAATTCTATCAAGATTACTCCTTTGGAGTATCCCCCCACCCCTCAGTTACCATAACCTTCTGAACTGACTTCTGTTCCTTGAAATTTAAATGGGCCAGGAGATCTCCTTGGAAGCCACCACTTTGAATGGAACCTGCTCTCTTGATCTGATTTGGTAAATCCAAGACTTGTCCCTAGTTATGATTCATTCCATAAAATTCTCTTCATTAACTTCAATCTTGCTAAGAAGATTTATGGAAAGATCAGTATTTTGAGCTTGCTCATCTTCACACAGCACTTTTCCCCCTTGGCACAAAAAATAGCTGCCTGACCCTTTAAGGCACCCTAATGAGGTAACCCTAATGAGACGACCACCACTCATCTGTCAGTTCACCACACTGAGGTGGCTTGTGTGTTGCTGTGATGCTGGAAGCTATGCCACTAGTATTTTAAATATCAGCAGGGTCACCCATGGTGGACAGGTTTCAGCAGAGCTTCCAAACTGAGGCAGACTAGGAAGAAGGAGAGGTGGACTACTTCCATATGTACATGAAAGCTGGTAGGAAGACCAGAGAAGAATTGAAGCATTTGAATTATGTTGGTGGTGAAGAAAATTGTATATACCATGGACTCTCAGAAACAGATAAATCTGTGTTGGAAGTAGTAGAACCAGAATTCTTCTAATAAACCAGGATGGTGAGACTTTCTCTCTCTTACTTTGGACATGTTTTTAGGAGGGACCAGTCTCTGGAAGATATTATGGTTGGTAAAGTGGAGGACTGGTGAAAAGAGGAAGACTCCCAAGGAGATAGGTGACTTGCCCTCATATTGAGAGGCCCTCTCTTTTGAAAGGCAAAACGATCTTGTAGTTAGTTACCTGGGACAAATCCCAGGCCATTCATTTAGTTTAGCAAGTTCACACTGTACCACATGGGCATCTGAACTGGACCAGCATGGATGACTTCGCCTTTGTCCCCTGCAGTTGCATTTCCTTGGTGATAATAGGTTTGGCTCTGGTTTCTGAAAACTGTGAAACTCTTCCTAATTTAAAGGGTTAAGATTCTATGTTGTCGTTAAGTGCCATTGAGTTGATTCCAACCCATAGTGACCCTGTATAGGGTTTCTGAGGAGTAGCTGGTGAACTTGAACCAGTGACCTTGCAGTTCAAACGGCTTAAGAATCTGTCACATTAACCCACAGCGCCACACCAGGACTCCTAAGATTACAGTCTACAGAGTAACAGAAAAAAAGGGATCAATTCTAAAATTTGGAAAATTGGCATTTTTCAATTATTACTATACATTTTGCAAATTACATTGTACTTTCAATGAGCTCTGAAAATAGTTTATCAAATTATAGGCTTAGTCTTTTATGACACTGCCTGTAAGAGACTTATCTTTTAAGATTCAGTGTCGAGGGGGCAGGAATACCAGCCTGGGCAGAACTGGTGGCCTACGTGCCTAGGAATATATACCCTTGGTTCTGACCCTTTTGGGTGGAAGGGTCCCTCTGCAGGTACAACTTGCAATGTGTTCAGGAACTGGTGACCAGG